TGCCAAAAATTATGAGATTTATCTTATAATCATCCCATGACAGATTGTAAATGAGCCATTAGAGGAACTATAACTTCCTGAGGTTAAAGTGACACAGTATTTAGCATATTAAGTACATTTTGATCATTTCTGGATAATTGTTCTATTACTCTTCTATAGATACTTGTTAGATCTAATTTAATTATTACAGGCATGTAGGTCAGTTATTTTTTTTAACGAGTTGTTTTTTTTAATCGCTTTAAAGATATCTACAGGAAGGAAAAAAATCTCCTTTTTAAAATATATGTTTCTTTTTCTATAATGCTACTTGATTTTTTCCTACTGAAAAAAATGAGTTAATAGTAATACTTTATTCAATAAATAATCATTTCACTGGAAATATCCTATCTAATAAAGAGGTGATATGCTAATTGACCATCACTCCATCACAAAGATGGCTGCACCAAAAGCGAGGCCAAGTTCCCATAAGGAGCCATAACGAGCAATCAGCAGGGACCTGAGGCTACACCCTTCCCCGCCCTGTAGGGCTTGACAGGGGACCTCAGGTTGTGTCCCCCACCCAGCAGGGCTTAACATGGAATTTCAAGGTGTGCTTCCTGTCCTGGAGCTGGGCTAGGGGACCTCAGGATGCTCCTTCTACCCCACCACCAGGGTAGGGGACCTCAAATTGCAACCCCCGCCTCGTGGGTCTTGACAGGGGCCCTCAGGCCATGACCCCCACCTCATCACTGGGCCAGGGGACCTGAGGCTGCGCCCCCTCCTGCCCAGTGGGGCTTGATGAGGTACCTGACGCTGTGCCCCCCGACCTGGTGGGGCTTGACAGGGGATCTTAGGCCATGTTTCCCACCTGGCGGGGCTTGATGGAGGATCTCCAGACATGCCCTTTGACCCGGTCTGGGTTGGAGACCACAGGCCACACCCCCTCTCCTGGCTCTGGGCCAGTGGACATGAGGCTATGCCCCCTGCCTGGCAGGGCTTGACAAGAGTAGTACTGGCCGGGTCTGGATCTTCCCCAATGAAGGGCCTGGCTGGGTCTGGGTCTCATGTGATTTTGAGGTGCATGTGGGTGGACGGGGACTTGACTCTGGGTCCTGTGGTAAGCCCCGGACTCTGACAGGAAAAAGGTTTTCATATATATTTTACTAATTTTCTTTCATCTCTGACACTTCTATTATAGAGAAAGGGCAAATAGTAATATTAAATTATTTACTCTATTCCCCTTTTAATGTGCATACATTTTTTGTACCAGGTCACTAGTACCTTTATAAGCTCCTTTACCTAATTCTTAGGCAAACTGAAATTGGAGAATGGATCACCTAAAGGATAGAGTACAAATGTTTTAGACATTCTAGATTTTTGACTGTTTAGTCTCAACCACTTGCAGCCAGGAGAGGCCTCGCACTGTCCCCAGGGGTGCTGTGTCCTTTCCCAGGCCTTAGGTTGCCTCACAAAAGGGAGACCTCCCCCCGACCCCGTCATTGCTGGAGCCCTTAGTGCTCTAGTATTGCCTGGTATTGCCATTGTAACCCACACTTATTGGATTTCCTTTGTTAAAGCCAGTCATTTCATTTATTTTCTGGCAATGGCCTTTTCAGTAGTGTCTGGACACACTGTGGGAACCTGGCGCATGTCTTTTCATCTCCACGTTTTTGCTCTTTCCTCCTAACTTTTCTGTCCATTGCCAACCATAAAAACCCTGTACAGACTTCTAGACCTACCTTTTACCCTCCTCTGTGAACCTGTTCTCTTCTCCAACTGTGACAAATGAACAAGATACAAGAAAGGTTAGAGGGAAGACAAGCTGAAAGTGCGGAGGCAGACCAGGATGTGTGTAGTAAAGAGGAAATATGCTAATTGGCCATCACTCTGTCAGACGCTCACTTACCAGGTGTGGGCTGTATAGGCCAGTGGAGGGATTCAAAGAAGGACTTTAAAAAAACATGAAACACTAGAGGCCCAGTGCATGAAAATTCATGCACTGGAGCGGAGATCCCTCAGCTTGGCCTGCCCCCCTCACTGTCCAGGAGCCCTCAGGGGCAGGAGGCGACCTGGCAATCGGGAAGGCGATGCCCCATCACACCCCTGCTGTTGCCATTGCCAACATAAGTAGCACAAGCCTTGGCCAGCCCTGGTTACCTGAGCCTCGGGCAGCCCTGGGCAGCTGGGCAGCCACCATCTGAGACTTGCCTGTGCCTTGGGCCAGCCCTGTGGGCTGGGAAGCTAAGGGGACTAGGGAAATACAGAGGCAGATTCACCGAGTGTAAGTGCCTGCTGCCCCGGCAGTGCTGAGGGGACTAGGTGCTGCCATCTTGTGACTGTGGGTGCAGCCATCTGCCATCTTTTGAGGGCGTGGCAGTTAATTAGCATATCCCCACCTTATTGGCTATGGGTGCTGCCACCTTTGAGGATGGGATAGTCAATTAGCATATTCTCTCCTAATTGGCTGTGGGCACTGCCATATTTGTGATGATGTGAGGATCAATTAGCATATTCCCTCTTTATTACGATGTGCTGTCAGAGTTTGGTATAACTGTGATTGATTGGACACAGAATTCATTCATTCTGAACATGTTTATACAAAACTGATTCGTGAAAGGTGGTGAGGAAAAGAGACGTGTGACCACAGTCTGTTTGGGGAGACTGTGTTAACCAAATGGTCACACAGTAAGTATAAAAATCATCATTTGAATTACATTTAGTATTTGTTATAAAGGATAGGTAAAGGTTGCTATTAGCTTATATTAGGCTTACCTGCCTGGGCAAGGACAAAGGACTGAGAGGAAGCTGGTCAGAAAGGCTTTCTGCAGGAGCATGGCATATGCTGAAATGCGAAAAGTCACAGGGGCACCTTTAATTGTGTGAAATTGGGTATGAAAAACATTCCTCGAGAAACAAGTCAGACAGGAAAAGTTAAGAACCCTGTGATTTCACTGTGGCATATAGAACCGAAAGCAATTCACGAACAAACAAGACAAACAAAAACTCATAGCTACGGACAGCAACATGATGGTTATCAGAGAGAGCGGTGGGTGGGCAGGGTAGTACAGGGTGTAAAGGGGGTCAAATATATGGAGATGGACAAGGATCTGAGTTTGGCTGGTGGGCACACAATGCTATATACGAATGATGTATCATAGGACTGTACACTTGAAAACTGTATAATTTCATTAACCCAATACATTTAATTTAAAAAATATTTTAAAACCCATTCCTTGAAGAATAAATAGAGTATGCAGAAGGTATGTTAAAGGGACTTCAGGAAGGTCACTGTGACTGGAAAGAGTGGAGTCAGATGAGAAAAAGAAGAGGAAAAAGAGTATCTTTCCCTTACAAAGTATCTTCTTGATATTTTCCTTTTTCTATCTTCCTTTCTTGCTATTTCAACTATCAATTTTATACAGAGTATTCCAAAAATCTGCTCCTTCCTTATCTATTTCAGTCAACTTCACTCCCATATTCCGAGTCATCAACAGTGCATACAACTACCATCGGCACCTCAAATTTTAACACTCAATTATCTCCTCAAAATATACTGTGCCTCTATATCTGTCCATTAAAATATTACTCTTCTAGTCAATCAGTCATCAACAGAACTGTCTTTGACCTGGGCTGACCTTTTGACCCACATAACTTGGGACTCTCCCTTCAGCTACAGTGTCAACGTGTTCCCTACATCTCCCTGACTCCATCTTTCTAAATCACAGTTCAAATAGCACACTCAGTTTTTCAAAATTGTTTTTATTGATTTTTAAAGAGAGAGGAAGGGAGAGGGATAAAGAGATAGAAACTGCGATGAGAGAGGAACTTCATCGATTGGCTGCCTCCTGCATGGCCCTTACTGGAGATTGTGCCTGCAATCAGGGCATATGATCTGACCTAGAACCAATCTCTTGGTTCACGGGTTGACGCTCAGCCACTGAACCACATCAGCCAGGCTCACATTCAGTTTTGGTAGGATTTTGATGGATCCATAAAGGGAAGGGAGATTGGAACAGAGGCTCTGGAGGTAAAGAAACTATCAAAGTATTAAGGAAATGCCACGGTAGTACAATATATCCTCTCAACCAGCAGAGGATAAACCTCCCAGAGGACTGCCGTGTTGTTGACAGTGACGGTTCCTTACCTGACTGTCCCTTGCTGTCTGTTGGATGTAGCAGTTTACCCCTGGGGGAATAAGAACTTGACTTTTCTTCTCTGCGTGGAATGGTTGAGTACATTATTCTCCTAGATTTTCCTTTCCGACACAGGGCCCATTAAACACTGTGCCCTTAGTAAACAGCGGACTTTGTGTGACTGTTGTTATGCCAAATGGTTGAGGAGGGTCCAGGTAAATGAAGACAGAGTTACCAAGAGCCTTAAGAACAACCTTCTTGAGCAAAATTATGATCTGTATGTATATCTTGATTGCAAACAGCCAAATCCATATTTTTTCCTTCTTTTGTCATTGGGGAATAAAAAGTGAAGTGAGGCAGGTATGAGCTTAAGATAATCAACATCAGAGCATTGAGGAAAATGAGTAATTGATATAGTCCAACAGTCTTGTTTCTTAGAGATATTATTGTTGTTCATAATATGTAAAAGCAGGCATTTTGAAATGGTTCAGTTACAGTACCTGATGTGGCCAGCAGATGCCTGCAAACACCATAAAATCATTTTGACCAGATTGTTTTAAAGACCAAACTGCTGTTCTTTGGAGCTTATATATATATATCGCTAGTCTAGTATGATTGTTTGTATTTCGTTCTTTGCCTTTTAATTCTAGATGTACAGACTATTGAAGACATTTTACTTGAAAGGAACAATTAATATCTTCTTTTCTTGGAATATTAAGTGTCTGATAGAATATCTACTATTTGTATGACATTTAAACAATTTAGCTGAAACCAGGAAAGAGAACCACTTGTAAATGTTGTGCCATTCTTTATCCTCCTCTCCCCCCCAATAAGATCAAAAGAATTTTAATGTCTTCATTTGTGTATCTTTTTCTCTAACCAATATAGGAGAAGTACTCAAAAGGAATAATACCCCTTTCTGCTATATCTACAGTACGAGTTCAAGGAGACAACAAATTTGAGGTTGTTACAACACAAAGAACTTTTGTGTTTAGAGTAGAAAAAGAAGGTAAGATTATTTCTTTGTCCCTATGAAAACAACTCGCAGATATTCAAGAAATCGTTAAGTATGTTACTTTTACATAATTTACATTTTATGTTAATTTTTGAATGCCATAAGCAAGTTGACAAGTATTTATTCACTCTTCTTGCATGCAGTAATACTTAGTGAGGACCTACTAAGGGTCAAGGACTCTTTTAAATTCTGAATGTACAGCAATGAAAAAAAGGAGACAAACATCTCTGCTCTTATGGATAATAATGCAAAATAATTATTTAATATGCAAAAATTTGCCTTTCTTGTGATCCCAAGGTTGGTTTTACAGCAGGCTTTAACTGAACACACAGGCACAGTTGTGGTTCTAACAAAGATTTTGCAGCATCTTTTCTTTTTATTGAATATTTTCACCTGCATCACCTGTTACAAGACACTTGATGGTGATTGATATACATTATTGTGATGTTTGGTGATATAATCTAAATCTTTAAACCTTCTCTGACTTTCTGGGTGAGAGAGGGAACTAGAGCCAGGGGAATTAAGATTTTCTGTTGTGTATTTTGATTAACTGCCAATAGCATCATTATTATAAACACCACTACTTTTAAATAACATAGGTAAGGCTCTATTCATTAATTAAACAGGATTTTAACTTATTTTAAAGCCCACTTTTAGATTATAGCTCAACTAGATTTTTAAAAGTACTTTTACTTCTTGATACTTAGTTATTTGAATAAAGGTGAAACTTATTCATTTTCACAATAGTTTCATGATATATGTAGGTAATTTAATTATTCCATTTTACTACAACAGTACTAACTGTTATGGAGCAATATTTATTTATTTTTAAACTGCTCGATTTCTAGAACATGCGCTTGGGCATGGCACATAGAAAACATTCCATACATATTATTTATTTCTCGAAAGCTTTCTAGATGGCTTGGGATAGTCAGTAAATGAGTAAGTCCCAGCCGCTGCTTATACTGGAGCAGCTTTTTTGACTCACTCACCACTTGAGAGAGCAACTTGGTTGTTTTTAATGGCATAACAAATACAAAAACAAAAAACACCCAAACAAAACAAAATACCAAACGGACAAAAAAAAAAAAGAGTAAGAAATACCGAAGTACATTGCTTCTGGTGTGTCTAAATAATTTATTGTGAAACACACCGATGCATATATTGCACCCATGTAATGTGAAAGTGTTTCTTACTTGCTGTTAGACAAATGTGGAGCGCTTTCGCCGGGGCTGAAACAGCACGACCAGGTGTCCATGCACACAGGCTGGTTCGATCCCAACCTCCGTCATTCGCTGACACCTCCTCTCGCAGCTGCCTGTGCCTCAGTGGCAGTGCGGAGCTGTTACAGCACAGCCTGTATGGCCAGGAGGGCCTGAGATATTACTGTCAGCCCCTTTACAGAAAGAAAGCTCGCCAACCCTGCCCTGCCCTAGAGCACTCTATATAGACCTGCTGCTTCTGGGAGAAGCCACTTTTTGTGACTCGTTGCTTAAGATTCAGTTACCCTCAGTTATGATACTCGATATGGAACTTGTCTCTGAAATCGTGGTTTTCTCTTAGGCTATTTCTTCAAACACATGGCGTTGCTCCTCTCGGCCGGCTCTCCTGGTGATCTTCCCTTCTGCTTTGGTTTCCAGGGCCCCGAAGGTGACTGCCTGTGTCTTTGAAGTGCTTATCACCTTCCCCTTGGCCTGTCAGAGTGAATCCCACATTTGCCACGTGGCCTGCATTTTAAGATAGACATGCCAAGTCAAGTTTCCACAGTGCTTAGCCATATTTACTTGCTGCAGTTAGAGGTTAAACAGGCACACTTTCTTTAAGTGGAATTTCAACCCACACGTTGAAAAGTTACGTGTTTATAGCAGACCCTTGAATCTGTCTGTGATACATAGTTCATCTTTGTGATAGGAACTTAGTATAACAATTTCATTAACCTTGATATAAGTTATTTGTTAAATTAAGTTTAGGTTCTTAATTTTTGAAAGCGTGCAAATACTGCTTTAGTGAAAATGGAGACTCTGTTCACATAGAATTACTGAAGGTAATTTTCAAGTTCTTTTCATTGAAAGTCATTTTTACAGAGTAACAAGTCACGTTTTTAAAGGTAAGTGGTTGTAGCCAGTCATAAGGGCTCAGTGGTTGAGCATCGATCTATGAACCAGGAGGTCATGGTTCGATTCCTGATCCGGGCATATGCCTGGGTTGCAGGCCCTAGTGGGAGGGTATGCAGGAGGCAGCCAATCAATGATTTTTTCTCATCGTTGATCTCTCTCCCACTCTCCATTCCTCTCTGAAATCAATAAAAATATATTAAAAATAAAGATAAGTGGATGTAGAGGTGTATGTGTTGTGTGAGTGTGTGTGTGTAACTTATACATGTACATATACACAAATGCTATATGAGTGAACATATCTTTAGTATGGAACCTTCAACAAGATACTGATTATGTTTCATTAAGTGTTCTTTTCCTTCCATGTATACAAATGATTACCTTTTATTTTGTGGGGAACTGAGAAATCAATCAAATGAAATATGGTTTATGAAAGATTTGACTTAATGAATTTTAAGCCAAATTAAACTTTGTGTCCATCCCATTCATCATACAAGACCAACATTTAGAACAACAAGAGGAAGTGGTTTCCTCTCCCAACAGAGATAAATTCTTCACTTTGGGCAGGAAGGTTCCGAGTGACCTACATACAGCCGCTCCCCGTCTCCCCTGAAACCAGTGTCATTCCTTCCTCACTGCTGCGCAGCCCTGCTCAGACAGGGTTACAATTTGGCATCTTTTCCCCACACATTTTCAAAGGCTCAGTCCTCCTCCCCGGTTTCCTCTTGCAATGCTGTCATTCTCTTAGTTGAAATAATAGCATTTAAAAAAAATGCTCTTCCTCATATAGAAAACATAGCCTGATTCTTTTTGTCCTCAAGCAGAGCCATGGGCCCTGGTCATGGAAGCTAAGGATCTCTTCATTTATCTGTATCCCCTTGGCACCTGTGGACACATGCAGACGTGTCACTGCACTCGTTCAGAAAGCAGGTGCTGTTTGAGGGCACAGTTCTCAGTGTTAAAGCGGGGCTTGAGAATTCTGCGGGGTCCCGGTCCTTCCCACGCCACTTGCAGCACCGGCTTTCAGCTGCAGGTCCCGTGTTCCTGTCCATCTTCGTCCCTTCTGGACTCCTGGGGGACAGGAAGGGTCATTTTCCCAGCCATCTTTCTAGAGTCTAGAAATCTGGACTGTGCCACACAGCCCTCCAGTGGCCACTACAATACCACAAGGTTTCTCCCATCCCTTCCTCCCCTCCCCCCCTTCTTTTATTTTTAAAGAACACTTGGGCTAAAAAACATCCATTCCCCTTAGTTGTTTGGGGCAAGCAGACTTAGCTGTTTTGGAATCGCCAGTGTTCCAGAATAAAGGCATGGCAATTTGCTCCCCAGAGGGAGAGCCGGGCGATGAACAGTCCTCTGTTGCATCCTTTGATAGGCCTCTCATGATACAGTTGGCCACACACTGTGAGTCATTTTTCTGTCTTTCTCTCTCTGCTATGTCACATCCAGTCCATCAGCAGATCTTACCAGTCTGAGTTGGGAACTATGTCTGTATTCAGGCCAATACTCAACAGTCCACCACTTCCACTCTGCGAGTCGTGCAAGCCACCCTGTGTGTCTGGATCATTCATTGTACGAACCTCCCTTGGTTGACGACAGTCATAGTCTCACTACAGCTGTCAGAGCAATCCCTCAGCAAGAACGTCACGTCGTGGCGGTCCACTCCAGGTGGTCTGTGTCTTTCCATGTCCCTGAGAGGAAAGCCCCTAGGATGCCCAAAAGCCCCTCCTGGGTGGTCCTGGTCCCGCTGTCCTTGTCTCCTGTGCTCTCCTGAACTGGTCAAACCTGCCGTTGTTTTGGGGTCTGAACACTTGCTGCTTTTTTTTTGTGTGTGTATTTTTTGTTTTTTTATTCCAGAATGCTCCTCCTGCAGCCTTCCTCCTGACATGATCTATGACTCCCACTTTCTTTCGACTTTTGCTCCACCATCACCTTCCTAGGCCTTTTCTGTTAGTCTATACAAAAATAGCACCTCCCAGTATCCCTCATCTCATTCTTCATTTTATCCTATTGCACACCTCACTGTGTAGCAGGCTTTTCTGTATGTTATTGCCTTCCTTTTCGCACAGAGTGTGGTGAACTCCAGCAGAGCGAGGCCATGATCTGTGTTCCTTCTTCCGTTCCTGGTGTTCACAATAGGTGTTGGACGGTAGTGGGCACTCAATAAATATTTGTATGAATGATTGGTTATTGATTTCAAGGACAAGCCCAGTGTGCAATACTTCCTTCCCTAAAATTGAACATGGGTTGCTTTGAGGGATTAAAAAAACAACAACACTGTTATCAGATTATATCAAAAGTAAGGGTCCATTTAAACTTGGTTAGATTCTGTTAGTAATCTGTCACACAGCCCTTGCATAGTAATACCTAGTGTAATATATCCTTTGTTGCTAATATTTATGCATACTACTAAATTCAGTAGTCTGGAGAGTTTTAATCCAGTATTCTCTGCTGTTGAATTTTTTTTTTAAATTTCCTTTTTTTTGAGTAGTATACCACAGTTGGCATTCCTGAACACCTCAAGAACGAATTTGAGGTTTGAGGGAATTCCTGTTATCTTTTTTCTTACACTCTAACGTAATTTCAAGAAGGTGGCAATTTGTTTCCTCTACTTCCCCCTCCCCCCCCCCCCCCACACACACACACCACACTTTTTTTTTTTCTTACTCTCACCTGAAATATTCTACTTTGAACAGGGCCATATCTAGGTCAAAGCATATTCTCAAAAGGAATGGTGCATAGACACACTCAATAAACATTTGTTATTGGAAATAATAAAAGTACCTTGGTGTGAAGAGCTGGCAAAAGCTAGCATAGCATCTAGCTTTGCCCAAGACACTTTGCCCAAAGGGGAAAAAAAATCATTATTTGTTTTGGAATATTGTGACTTACCAAGCATATTTACCATGTTTAAGGAAGCACACGCCATACAGCCACATACCAAGTGCAATTTGTAATCCATTTTGTTGTGTTTGAATTGTCTGCGTCATTGTTTATCTCTGTTGGCATAGGTTATTAGAATACACTGAATGTTACTATTAATTCCTAGTCTTCTTCCTGACGGTTTCCTTCCTATTAGTAGAGGAGGCTTTTAAGAGCGAGGTAATTCTTTAGGCTGTAAGGGAAACATTTGTTGAGATGAAGCCATAATTTGCTTAAGTCCAACAGGTGCAATTGCCTGTTTCAAATTATTTCCAGACACTGAGACCTATGCTCATAGTAATCCAGAGGCTGCAACATAAAATTATAACCAGCATTTCAAACTCAGTGACTTAGGTGGATGAACACAGCCAAAACTTACCTACTGTTTACTTAGCAGGGCTATCATTTGTGTTGAAACTAATGATCATGAGTAATAACCAAGTTAAATGGAAGGTCTGTTGTCATAACTGAAAATATAATAAATTATTATTATACAATCCGGATCTGTTTATGTGGATGCAAAATGTAGAATAGCCACTGCCTATTGACATTGACCTCGTTACTGGAAGGTTTCATGTCTTTTAGTTTATAATGATGCCGGGGGAATTCAGTAAATATTTTGTCCTGATATATAGGAACAAGCTCAGTTACCTGAGGATTATGGGACACATGCCATACACATTGTTGAAGGAGAGTTTAACAAATATTTTTGTCTTAGCCACTAAAGACACAACTAACTGTTTTTAGTCGACTTGAAGACAGGCAAGAAGGAAGATAATTTTAAAATTAAGACATATTATGAAATAACTGTTTTTAGTAGTTTTCAGGGTGAGCAAATACAAAAATAATTAGAATGAAGGGTTCTATTATGAAATAACTCATATTTTAATGTCAGCAAGTCTAATATGGAAACTATGTAATAACTCAATTTACAATGGAGTTATTCCTGCAAAACCTGTCCTAGAAGTCTCTAAGACATTGCTCAATTTCCCATGCTTTGGTTAAGAGTATCTTCATCCTTCAAATAATTTTCTACCTGGAATTCTGTTTTGCCTTGATATCCATCTCTCACTCTCTCCTTTTTTTTTTTTCTAACCAATTTTCCAGTCTCATACATACAGTTGTAATTCAAGGTTTGTCCATTTCTTCTTCTTTTATATTAAACATTTATCCACATACCTGGGTCTGTCTGTTCTGGTATAAATTGCATTCATTTGCATGTTGCTTTCAGGCTTCCTAGAAGCTCATGGACACCGAGAACCTGAGGAAGTCTGTTAATAAAATGGAATTTTCAATTCATGACACCTAGGCACCTGTTATTCTGAGTAACCTAATTTTTGTGAACACCTGTCAAATATATTCAAAGCCTCAGCTACTTTTTACTCCTTTTAATGTCTTAGCTCTTTATAAGTTATTTTGTTTCCAGTTTCATTGTACTTTTAAGTCTCTCTTGTCTTATTCCTGAATCTCCAAGCTTCCTTTTGGTCTGCCTTTCATCATCTTAATCATGCCCCTTCCTTATTAAGAATCTTGAATTTCCTTTGCCTCTGTAATAAAGATAAAATTTCTTGCACAGATTCTGAAGAGAATCTATAGCACTTTTCCCCATTATTTCCTTGTGTGTTTAAAAATTATGAATATTTATAAGTTGATCCTTGAGTACATGTTGATTTGTTTTGCTTTTTTTCTTGTGTTTTCCTCTACTTAAAGTTATAATATTCTGCTCTTCTCTCTCCTATCCTAAACCTGTTTTGTCTTTTCAATTGCTCCTTGTTCTCAAGACCTACCATAAACTTCCTTCTTTTCATAGTGCCAGCAACAATTGTCCGACAGTGAAAACATTTGATTCTCTTAATTTGAACACTAACTTGCTGTGTGATCTTCAGCAAATCACTTACCTTCATTAAATTGACATTTATTATTTGATACTATTTGATTAATATTTATGGTATTAGAGACCTGGTACAGGTCAGCTGGCAGTCAGGGCCCACTGCCTTCCTTTGTACTTTGCTGCCCCCCTGGTGGTCAGTGCATGTCATAGTGAGTGATCGAACTCCCAGTAGAACTCCTGAGGGGACACTTTGCATATTAGCCTTTTATATATGTAGATTTGTGTTTCATTATGTGTTTATATCTAACTTGCCTTATAGCTTTGGTTGCTCTTTGGGGAGTAGATCAAATTCTTGTTCCTGTAACAGTGTGTTACACATAGATGAAGGTCACTTAGCTTTTGTGGAAAAAAAGTGAGAAACCCAAATTTCAATTTGCCAAATGTGAGAATGGAATGGGTGAGTGAATATCAGGCAACATACCCTTTACTATTATATATTCTCAGTGACAGAAAGTAATAATTTTCTGGGCATTTGAGTAACTTCATTGCCCAGACAGTATATCAATTCTTTGGTCACATTATTACTTTCTTCTATTAAAAGAAAAAAAAAAATCAATCTCACAAATAATCTAAAACAGTGCTTTTGAAACATGAACATAGGTCACATGGGGACCTTGTTAAAAGGAAGATTTTTTGTTTTGTTTTGTTTTTAAATAAATATATTTTTATTGATTTCAGAGAGGAAGTGAGAGGGAGAGAGATAGAAACAATAATGGTGAGAGAGAATCATTGATCGGCTGCCTCATGCCTGCTCCCACACGGGATTGAGCCTGCAACCTGGGCATGTGCCCTGACTGGGAATTGAACCATGACTTCCTTATTCATAGGTCAATGCTCCACCACTGAGCCATGCCGGCCAGGCTGAAAGGAAGATTCTTATTCATCATGTCTGGGGGCGGGTCTGAGAGGGTGCATTTCTGATAAGCTCCAAGGCGGAGCCAGTGTCACTGCAATACAGGACAACTGAGTAGTGTGTATTACTTGCTTTTCCTTACAGAATTGAGTATTGACCCTGCCTGCAGCAGCATGCACAGTGTACTGGTGGGAAAGAATCTTTGCATTATCTGTTTGTAGAGAGGGATAGTAGGTTCCTGCTCTCTGTACCTATGTGTATATAATGTATGTAAGTATCAATACACGTATTTTGTTCCCCTCTTTATTTTCAGAGGAGAGAAATGACTGGGTCGGGATACTCCTAAATGCACTGAAATCGCAGTCCCCCTCCTCGCAGTCTCAAGCAGCTGCTGCACCTGAGAAGTGCGGATATCTTGAATTGAGAGGTTATAAAGCCAAAGTTTTTACTGTGTTAAGTGGAAGCAGCGTGTGGCTATGCAAAAACGAACAGGTGAGCTGTGTTACGGCAATTGCAAATTGCAGTCCCTGCTTACATTAGCTGCTGTGCTCTGTTGGGCTTATTAGTGTTTTTACTTACAGTCCTGCTTATGCCTTGAGTATTCCACTAAATATAACAAAGTTGTTTTGCTGAATTTTCTCAGTTCATTCAGCAGCAAAAAATGTCATCTATATTAGAGTTGAGACTAGACATCACCTTTCTAAGGGACTGAGGAATAGAATCATTGAAAATAATGTTTACAAAGTATTCCTTAGTGGAAGTAACATCATAAAACTACATGAGAAAGTAATGAAGAACAAATTACAAATTACAGCTGTTGATGAAATAGGCATCTCGTGTTTCTTTTGTTTTTGTGACAAAATTATAGAGAAAAGCATGTATTTTCTTGAGTTTACAGCATTTTGGCTTTTGTTTTGAGCGGATAAGTTGCTAGCAGAGGAAATAATTTACTAGAAACAAGTGATTGATATACACGCATTCATACATATGCACATAAAAACACATTTCACACATATGTAAATAAAATAGGCTTAACTTGTTATTGAATTTGGTTAATATGGACTCAATAGAAAGTTTCAATGTTAGGAGTGACTGATGTTAAAAGAAAGTTTAATAAATTTCATTAACTTCATTTGATTCTGTAGACCTCCCTTTCTCTAACATATCTTGTTTTTAATATGTATAAGAACATTCCTTATCCCTTTTTGGGAATTCTTATCTAATCTTTCAGCTTAGTAATGATTTGTGGAATTAAACGGTGTGTTTTGGATAGCTGAGCTAAAATGAATTCATTGTATGATACAGTATAATGGATTATGATATTGTGAACTATGAATGCTGACTATTTTCATAACAAAAATAGTGAAATAATCTCAAAACAAATAGTTTTAAAAAAACATTAACCCTAGATCTTTATTCAAGGCATCCTCTGGAACTTCAGTACGAACTTACTCATTACATTTTCTGGGATGAGATTTCTTAGCCAATTAGCTGTGGACAGCATTGATTGAACACTGTTGGCATATTAATAACTTGGATAGTTAGCCTGTTTCTCAAGAATAGTGATGTGCAGCTTAATAATGTATATGAACTCAATATGAACATTTTCCGATTGTGAAGTAAGATGATTAAAACTTTTCTTATTGGGATGGTGGTTAAAAATGTATAATTTGCATAAATCAGTATGGAAGTTTCTTTGTTAAATGAGTTCCACAAAATAATTGAGGTATTTATCTTTAGTTGCATAAAGATAGAATGTCTGAGTCTGTTATTCTCTAGAAGTATAATGCTTTTAAGGTTTTACTAATATCTTCTGATTAGTGAGAAATATCTGAAATTTTTGTTTTAACGTTAGTATTTGAGTATAAAAAAGGATAATAATGACTACCATTTGTTGAGGACCAACTACTGTGCTAATTAATTTATAAACATTCCCTTTAATCTTACCCACAAATATGGGAGGAAGATATTCTTATTCATGTTGTATAGCTGAGGAAAATGAGGATTAAGTAACTTGTTGAGGATTTCAGTTCATTAGGCAGAGTTTAATTTAAAACCACTTTGTAACTCTAAGTCTAGCTTCTTAGCTGCTATAGCAAACTATCTTTTAAAACTGTGTGTTGAAAAGAAAATTTGTGGCCTGTGACCTTTTAGAAACAGACAGAGATTTTTTCCTTGAATAATTTAGTTGCCTGGAAGGTTCACAGTGTGCACTCAATAAGCATTATACCATGCCAGGCATTGGAAAAATGATGCGCTGATGGGAGGACACAAGTCTTCCAGGAGGAAAAGCCAGAGAAGAGCAATGTCCATGATAGATGGTGAGCACAGGGCTCTGTCAGGCTTGTGTAGGAGTTATAGGGAGGTGCAGAAATGGGCATCTAATGAAGTCTGAGAATTAGAATACTTCCGTGTACATAAATCTTGAGTATATTCTCCTTAAAATTAAAGCATTAATATTGGACCCCTCCTCATCTTTTGAGAAATAAACCTCTTTTTTTTTTTTTTTTTTAAAGAATGCTGTTGTTTTTTTTAATTGATTTTATAGAGAGATGAAAGGAGAGGGAGAGAGAGATAGAAACATCAATGAGAGAGAAACATTGATTGGCTGCCTCCTTCAGGGATTGAGCCCACAACCTGGTGACTTCTTGGTGCCTGGGGCAATTCTCAACCAACTGAACTACACAGCAGGACAATAAACCTATTTTTGATGGATGCATATTTCAAGTCCCTTTTAATGCATTAACATATTGGTATATTACACACACACACATAGACACACATCCTTGCAAAGTGCATTATTGTTTGTACGTGTGCTCTTTTAAAAATTATATCAGATTCATTATGTTGTATGGAGCCAATTCTTAAAGGACTTAGTCTAAAGAACTAGTTGGCTAAAGACTGGCTGGATGAATCAAGGATGGTCCTCTATGGTTAGCCATGACATACTCTTCCAGTAGTATTTATTTTTACATTCTAGGGCAGTGATTGGCAAACTGCAGCTCTGTTGACTAATGAGTTTACCCACCACTGTCTTAGGGCATGCCATTCCCCCAGAGGAAAGCTGCCCATCGGTTTGCTCACATGGTTTTAGCAAATTGTGTGAAGAATTTGGGTGACATGCTGAATAAGGAGTCTTGCTTCTGAATGGGCAGGGCTTTAAGCTAGTGTTTTAGGAAAAGTATTAAGAGATAATAGAATGGTTTTGTGTAACTTCTAAAAGTTTTATACACACACTACACAAAGTAATCTTGTGATTTTTTAAAAAAGATGATGGAAAAATCTCATCAGAAAAATGTAAGGGTTGTTTGATTTGAACCTCTGTATCTTAATTTCTAGTGGCACTCATTTAGTTCCATGTATCAAAGCTTAATTATTTTTAAAGCTTAAAAAAATTAAGACTTAATTTATTGCCCACATATCTTATAGTTTGACTAGGACAAAAACAAACAAACAAACAAAAAAAAACATTGACTTACATCACCCTAACATGAACAGTTTTCACTTTCCTTTTCTCTGTTTGTACATAGTCTTCCTAAGTTAATCTGGGGGTGACTAGAAAGAGAAGGAGAGGGTAGAGGTGGAAGGGTGGCTGTTGCAGCATCTGTGGAAGGGTTATTATCACAGAAGCTTGGGAGTGCATTTAGAACAGAGAAGACTGCAGAGTGCCAGTTCGAGGTTTTCATTCTTGATCTGCTGTTAACTGGCACAGGTAATTAAGCTAATCTCCTTAGATTTAAAGGAATCATGTGGAGAAGAGAGAGAGATTATTATTAAAATTCAGCTATCTGAACTCATTAGACACATTGACTTAGGTTTTCTGAAGATGGTGTGTTAGAATCTGTATTTGTAGAAAGTATCCTAGGTAAGTCAGTGACAGGTGATGAAAGACCACACCCAGTAAAACACTGCTCCTAAGCTCTCTTTGGCAGAACTAGAAACATCCATATTAAGTGAAGGAGATATTTCTGGAGTTGGAAATGTGTAAAAACAACCTTCCAGAACTTTGAGTGGTTCATCATTCATTAACTTTGGATTGCAAAACCTCTTTTTGTGATTGTTGCATTTGTAAGCATATAATTTTCTTGATTGAACATTTTGAAATGTTGCCAGAATCATTGTAATAATATATATTTTTTTAAGTCTGAAGAACTGATGCTAATAAATTATATATGGTTCTAAACTATAGCTACTGGGTTTTGTGTGTGTTGTTGTTTTTCTGTTGCTTAAAATGTCAGTAATTTTATATAAATTTTCATTTTTTCAGCTTAAAATCCTATTATTATTTTCTTCACCTAGACTTTTATTAACAAGAGAATGCTTTATTGGAGAAATTAAAACTCCATTTGCAAAGTCAGCATAAAAGAAAGTGTTTGAAAAACAATTTGAAACTGTTAAGATTCCATATGTTTATGTAACTCTGTGTACATCTGGAAATTTACTCTTAATTTTGTTGATTATTGCTAATCTTTTCTAAAGCTGTTTCTCTACTTAGGTCTCCCTAAGATTCCATGTGAAGCATCCCTACAAATATATTTTTAGTAATTCTTTCACTTTTTCTGGATCTGTTCCTTCTACTGAATCAAAAACTTGAATTAAATAGAAATTTCTTCTCTCTCTCTCTCTCTCTCTCTCTCTCTCTCTCTCTCTCTCTCTCTCTCATTGACTTCACACCTAGAGGAAGGAATAGGGAGAGAGAGAAACATCTATGTGAGAGCAAAACATTGAACAGTTGCCTCCTGTAAGTACCTCAACTGGGGATCAAACCTGCAACCTGGGTATGTGCCCTGACTGGGAATCAAACCTGAGACTTTTCAGTGCCCTGGAAGATGCTCCAGCCCAGCTAAACCACCAGGGCAAAACTTCTTCTCTTTTAAGAGAAGTGGCATTGTAACAGAAAAGGGGATGCCAGTCTTCACATTCTCCTCTATGGTTCACTGACAAGTCTCAACTCTGAGGAATCAGCACATTTTTCTCTTTTTCTCAGATGACAGTTCCACCACTTACTTTTTCTATCTTTTTCTTTTCCTTTTAATAATTAGCAGATTGTAAGAACTAAAATTTGAAGTAGATCTTGGCTAGCTAGGAAAAATGCCTTTAGGGAATGTTGTTTGTTTTTTCCAGATAGGCTGTAAAAAATAGAAAAGAACCACAAGGAGATATCAAAACATTCTTTAGAGAGTAAGATAGCAAAGTAGAAACTGATATTAAAATTATTATTTAAAGTTATTTTTCATTAAAATTGATATACAGTATTATATCAGTTTCAGGTGTACAACATAGAAATTCCTCATTTTTATACCTTACTATGTGATCACTATAAGAAGTCTAGTGACCATCTGTCACCTTAAGTTATTACAGTATTATTTACTATATTCCCTATGTTGTACCTTATATCCTTGTGATTTATTTTTTTAACTGGAAGTTTTGTGCTTCTTAATCTCCATCCCCTTTTCCACCCATTTCTTCCCCTATTTCAAGCATCAGTTTGT